GCCCGCCACTGCGCCGCTCTCCGCGGGACCGCGGCGGGGGGAAGGCCGGAGAGGACGACGACGCCGCCGCTTCTGCGCCCGCCCGCCCTCGCCTGGCCCGCCGCCCGCTTCAGCACGCGGGCGGCCGAGAGCGGCGAGCGCAAGGAGGAGAAGGAGGAGGAGGGAGGGGAGGCGGCGCGGCACACGCTCATCGGCCACGCGGAGAGCGTCCAAGGTCAGACGCAGCGGGGGCCCCGGGGCGGGTTAGGGCTCCTCCGCTCCTGCCTCCCATTGCCCGCCCTCCCCGGGCAGGGTTGCTAATCTCCAGGGCGTACCTGCGGACCTCCCGCCATTACCTGAGCCCCCTTGGAGAGTGGGACTGTGTGGCGCTGTGCCCCCTGCGGGGGGGGGGTGTCCCTTCCCCAACTCTGCTCTCACCAGCCTTCTCCCCCCCCCCCCGATCTCCCGGCTGTCCGCCCTGCGTTTTGGCCCAAGGACAGTGTCTCTAACGGGCGTCCTCTGCATGCCCCTTGCAGGCGCTCCTTCCAGTTATGAGTTCCAGGCGGAGACCAAGAAGCTGCTGGACATCGTGGCCCGGTCCCTGTACTCAGAGAAGGAGGTAGGCCCCGCCGGGGGAGGGTGGGGAGTCCCTCTGGCCGCCCTCTGGCCATGCGGGGGGGGTTGATTGCACAGCTGACCGTTTTGGGTGGGTAGAATGCTTTGTTGCTGCCGCGGCCCTCCATTTGCCAGACTTGTTCCCTCCTGCAGGTGTTTATCCGGGAGCTGATATCCAATGGCAGTGACGCGCTGGAGAAGATGCGCCACCAGCTGCTTTCTGAAGGGAAAGCCCTGTCAGACCTGGAGATCCATCTCCAGACCGACTCTGAGAAGGGAACGCTCATCATCCAGGTGTTGCTGCTAGGGAAGACGGCGGGGGGTCCTTCTTTTCCTGTGATTGTGGCCATTTTCCCTCTGATACACAATTCTGCCTGCGTGCTCCCGTTGCCAAATTAGAAACACACAGTCGGAGTCCAACGAGTTAGATGAATAGCTGTTTAATGCATTGAAACAGGGAAGACGGGGGGGGGGGAGCACCTTCGCACCTCAGCAAGTCCAAAGATGTATTCTACGATAACCAGGAAGGGCTGAAGGTCTTATACCCCAAATGACATTGCATATAGTTTATACATTAAAGAATCTCTAATTGGTACCAAGCAGTTAACATGATAGAAGCATCATTTGACTTTAAACCTTACAATTGGTCTCTCATGTATTGTCAGCGATTGCATTTGCTTATCCGCTCTTCAGAGCAATGAGAACACTGAGAACCTTTCTGGCCTTAGTGAAGCTAGTCCCTCTTTCCCTGGTTTCTGGGGAGCTGGGTGATAGGGGTTGTGATTCACATTCAGCTTTGCTCTTAACGTCCTTGCAGCTTCTGGAGTACACATTCTATCCTTATTGCATCCTAACTCTATCCCTAGAGGCCTCTAATAATGCTTTTCCTTAATATATATAGCTTTATATACAAAAGGTGCAGTTATCAAATATATTCTACTATAGGCTTCTCTAATCAAAAGATTCTAGGTTACATACCAAGATCTGGATCTATTATAATTAAACTTTTGAAGGCACAGTGGCAGCTGTCAGCATATAAACATGTCAGAGGAAATGTCAGACCCCACATTCAGAAATCACATTCATTTTCCCCTTGTCCTACACCCCAGAACTTCCTCTGATTTTCTTTCTTAGTGAGAGTACTTCTCCGCCCACTCTTATGCCAGAGAAAGTGGTTCAGCTGTGGCATAAAAGCCATAAATTTGGATAGTTTTATGGGAGATGCCTGGGCTGCTTCTGTGCTTCTTTCTTTATATGAGCTGCGTCTGCTTGCCTTTTATTTTGGGGTGCTGTGCATAATCAGCCCTCAGGATGGGTCCCTGAAATGGTAGGGAGGACACGGGGCAGATTTTCTCCAGGGAGGGGTTGGCAGAAGTTTTCAGAGCTGCCCTTCATCCCTTGCCTTCTGGGGATGTCGGTGGGCTTTGAAGCTTGGTTTCCAGAACTGCACATTGTGCCTTACCAGGCACGACACATTTCTTTGGGGGTAAAAATAGTAAGGCAAAATTTCAGCTGATGGTTGTGAGGGTGGGAGGCTGTTCTGCAGCTGCTGGATCAGGGAAAGATGATGGAAATGCTGTTTTATACAGAGAGTGATCACAATGTGGAATTCATTGCCAGAGGATGTCACGATGGCCACAGGAATGCACAGCTGTGAAAGGGGATTAGACAGATGCATGGAGGATAAGCCTATCAATGGCTACGAGCCACTGTGACTGAGGGGAATCTTCACATCCAGAGGCACTATCAGGGGAAGGCCTCAGCCTCTATGCCCTGTTAGGGGGAGGCCTCAGCCTCTATGCCACCGTGTGAGGCAGGAGGCTGGACTAGATGGACCCTCACTGGTCTGACCCAGCAGGGCTCTTCTGAGGTTCTTCTCGGGAAGGCCTCAGCCTCTGTGTCCTGTTATTGGCCCTTCAGAGGAACTAGCTGGCCACTGTGGGAGACGGGATGATGGACCACACGAACTATAGGTCTGATGGAGCAGGGCTCTTCTGATCTTCTTATTAAGGCCTCGGCCTCTGTGCCCTGTTGTTGGCCCTCCAGAGGAACTGGCTGGCCCCTGTGTGAGACGGGAGGCTGGACTAGAGGGACCCTCCCTGGTCTGACCCAGCAGGGCTCTTCTGATCTTCTTATTAAGGCCTCGGCCTCTGTGCCCTGTTGTTGGCCCTCCAGAGGAACTGGCTGGCCCCTGTGTGAGACGGGAGGCTGGACTAGAGGGACCCTCCCTGGTCTGACCCAGCAGGGCTCTTCTGATCTTCTTATTAAGGCCTCGGCCTCTGTGCCCTGTTGTTGGCCCTCCAGAGGAACTGGCTGGCCCCTGTGTGAGACGGGAGGCTGGACTAGAGGGACCCTCCCTGGTCTGACCCAGCAGGGCTCTTCTGATCTTCTTATTAAGGCCTCGGCCTCTGTGCCCTGTTGTTGGCCCTCCAGAGGAACTGGCTGGCCCCTGTGTGAGACGGGAGGCTGGACTAGAGGGACCCTCCCTGGTCTGACCCAGCAGGGCTCTTCTGATCTTCTTATTAAGGCCTCGGCCTCTGTGCCCTGTTGTTGGCCCTCCAGAGGAACTGGCTGGCCCCTGTGTGAGACGGGAGGCTGGACTAGAGGGACCCTCCCTGGTCTGACCCAGCAGGGCTCTTCTGATCTTCTTATTAAGGCCTCGGCCTCTGTGCCCTGTTGTTGGCCCTCCAGAGGAACTGGCTGGCCCCTGTGTGAGACGGGAGGCTGGACTAGAGGGACCCTCCCTGGTCTGACCCAGCAGGGCTCTTCTGATCTTCTTATTAAGGCCTCGGCCTCTGTGCCCTGTTGTTGGCCCTCCAGAGGAACTGGCTGGCCCCTGTGTGAGACGGGAGGCTGGACTAGAGGGACCCTCCCTGGTCTGACCCAGCAGGGCTCTTCTGATCTTCTTATTAAGGCCTCGGCCTCTGTGCCCTGTTGTTGGCCCTCCAGAGGAACTGGCTGGCCCCTGTGTGAGACGGGAGGCTGGACTAGAGGGACCCTCCCTGGTCTGACCCAGCAGGGCTCTTCTGATCTTCTTATTAAGGCCTCGGCCTCTGTGCCCTGTTGTTGGCCCTCCAGAGGAACTGGCTGGCCCCTGTGTGAGACGGGAGGCTGGACTAGAGGGACCCTCCCTGGTCTGACCCAGCAGGGCTCTTCTGATCTTCTTATTAAGGCCTCGGCCTCTGTGCCCTGTTGTTGGCCCTCCAGAGGAACTGGCTGGCCCCTGTGTGAGACGGGAGGCTGGACTAGAGGGACCCTCCCTGGTCTGACCCAGCAGGGCTCTTCTGATCTTCTTATTAAGGCCTCGGCCTCTGTGCCCTGTTGTTGGCCCTCCAGAGGAACTGGCTGGCCCCTGTGTGAGACGGGAGGCTGGACTAGAGGGACCCTCCCTGGTCTGACCCAGCAGGGCTCTTCTGATCTTCTTATTAAGGCCTCGGCCTCTGTGCCCTGTTGTTGGCCCTCCAGAGGAACTGGCTGGCCCCTGTGTGAGACGGGAGGCTGGAC